GCTGTGTGCTGTGTGCTGTGTGCTGTGTGCTGTGTGCTGTGTGCTGTGTGCTGTGTGCTGTGTGCTGCTAAGGTGTGAGCAGCAGAGCTGGGTTCTGACTCTCAATGAGGGTCCCTGCTGGCTGCGGGAGGCTGGTTGCTAGGCTACAGGCCTCTGGTGGGCTGCTATCAGCCGCGCGTTACAGAGTGACACATGAGGAAAGGGGGTGTGTGTGGAGGAGAGGAGGTAGAGGAGCTCATGACTACAAAGGAAGCCTAGATTCCTTTATTTTCTTTTGGTCATTGTTAACACTTATTTTAGGTACAGCAGGCCCCTCTTTGTGCATCTAAAATACTGCTTTCACTTGCCAGGTCTGCTTTGTTTTTGTTTTTTTACAATAAGTCCCTTTGGTAATCCATTATAAATTAAGCACTAAGAAGCTGACGAAAAGCCCAGGGAACTTGAGGGAATTCCCAGAATTTAAGGATTTCAGCCAGCTCAGCCTTTTTTTAGTGCCTGCACTATGTGTTAATTATAAAATTTAAAAGAGTTGTCAGTTGGGGCCTTTGGTGCTGAATTCTTCCTTCCCAGTATCCCAGTTTTCTCTCTTCTGCTTCTACTGCAGAACTGAATCATGGGCAACCTGCAAAACACTTTTTTGTTTTGGGCGTTTTAACAAATTATATCATGGAGTTAATGAGAACACTTTTATTCCTCGTTTAAAAGCAGTTTAAAAGCGAAGTTATATTAAATCATAGTCACAAACTAGGTTAACAAAAACCTGAGCATTAGCATGACAAGTTTTTCAGAAGTTGCAGTTAAAACAATGAATGAATCCAAGGCCTTTTCTCACTCTTCACTCTTCTCAGGTACATCTACAGGCTATGCCCCTTCAACCGCGTATCACAGAAATCGAAATACGGGGGATCTGAAACAAACCTGGGGTGAGTTTTTCCCCAGTCTTTCAGAGTATTGCGAGTTCTTATCCGCATGTCATTAGTGCAACTGATAATGAAGCCTTCATAGGTTGGTGGTTAAGACCACAGAATGTTACAGTGAGATTATAAACCGTAGGACAGGGGTCTCCAGTCCAGGTTCTGGAGAGCCCCAGTCCAGCTCTTCTGATAGGTCAACATAAATTGGCATTTCTTATCCTTTTCCATCCATTGGCACAATATCATAAAAAAATTGCAGCATCATTTTAGCCTTAAAAGAGCTTCATTTTGGAGTGAGCAGGTTACACGTTTTTCGTCCTGTGTGACGCCGTGGTGGAAGAATAATCAAGCCGTCATTTGTACTGTTGTCTGTATGTCTCCTGCGTTTAGGTCCTGGGGTTTATGGGCTGGCCCAGAAGATAAGAAATACTCTGTGATGAAGTATGAGCATGGTACTGGCTGCTGGCAAGGGCCTAATAGGTCTACTGTGGTGAGTGACACAAGTGGAAAGTACATGAACGTGCTTTTACACAAAGGGTTGTGAGAGTAGGCGACAAGCTAACTGACCATGTTGTCAAAACCGATACCCTGAATTCTTTCAGGGAACTCCTGGAGGAGATCCGTTTGGCTGATTAGCTACTAAGTGCTGAAAATGGCCTTGTCCCTTTTGTGCACTTTCACCTGCTCTAAGGCTGTGGTTCACATTCTGGGGTGCACGCATCCCCTGAGAGTGTGATATACCATTTCTGGGGGTACAAGACATGACAGTTTTTTTTTAACAGGTAAATCGAAAACGCAAACTAAGCACAGGCATGTAAGCCCACCTACTTTTTTTCATTAAACCTACGTATGTTAAGGTAAACCTAAAGTGTGTAATTTTTCATGTATTTCAAATTTGCAGTAAAAGTAAAATATATAATTCAATTTCTTTCATTCTATAGTTTTTGAAATATCTTAGGTTTAAAGAACTAACCTACTTTCAGTGATTTTGAGACCCAAAGGGGTGCAGGCTGTGGTAAAGGTTACGAACCACGGCTCTAAGGATTGGCTGTTTGAAGCTTGTTATGTCCCCAATGCTACAGCTCAGGCACCATCTCAATACATTTCATAAAGTCACTGTATAGCTGTGCAAGACAAAGGCACTACAAGCAGTCAATATTAAGCTATATGGTTAAGACCCTACGTAAAGTATAGGTGTACAATATATGAATATACCAGTATAAAAACGCTATGGGAAAGGAAGAAAAGCAGAAAATAAATAGTTCTTTTGACAGTGTGGGAATTTACCAAATCCAATCATATATTTTAAATTAAGTTATAGTGCAAAAAAAAAAACTAGCTGAAATGAACACACTGAAGCATTATTTTGTGTCACCTTTAGTGTTCTGCTGTAAGTAAGCACTGAAAAGAAAATAAGAAGTTTCTCCAAAGGTGTTTCCGCATGTAAGAATACTTTAATAAGTGCAAAATACATCAAATTTCAAATCAAATAACAGTCAGCTGGTGTTTTACCATTAATATAAGATTCATCTCCGCATCTTTGTGTCTCTGTGTATTTCAGTACTTATTAACACACACCTTGTGTCTATGGTCTAATGAAATGTCACTGGAAAGAAGAAATGGGGTGTATCTTTTTGGGTTAAGTTTTATTTTTCTGAAAATGGGATGTCTGACTGGATGTATTGCTGGTGTAATAGATCTGACATTCAGGAAGCTTAAAATACCTAGATATTCCAACAGCCTGACATGAATCCTTCTGCTCTAGTTATGGAGGGAGGTCAGTAATAACTAGGCTGCACTGCCTGTTCCAGCAACTGATAATGTGGCTCTCGGGTAAGCGTCGAGCCCAGAGATGCTGTAAAATGCAGAGGTATTGCTTGCAGCAGGTTTGTGCTGTCTATTGCTGTCCTAGTAGTCTGTTAGAAGTTGTAGTTGAAGCCTAATACTGTGGGATCTGCAATTGCCACAATATTACGAATTAAGTAGGGCTCTATAGATAGCATTAAAAGAACAAAGCATTCAGATGTATGGTGCATTATAGATGACAGCAATGAATATAAGCGCTGAGTTGAAGGATTTTTAATTTTCATGCATTGAGAGAACAGAGCAAGGTTTTTATAAAATTGAATAAACTGAATGTGGGCAAAAGAAACTGGTGACTAACAGAAAAAAGAGACAGACATCAAAGCCTTTGCAGTTTTCTGTAGGTTTGTACATTGGAGCATTTAATCGCAGATGATTACACACGGGGGAGTAATAATTTGGCCTACCAAACGAAGCTCAGCGCCCGTCATTACTTGTCAGTCCTGCTCTGCTTTTGCATCTAGCTAGCCGAGCAATGAGGGACTGACCTTCCCCTTTTCCTCCACGATAGAAATTCTATTAAAAATGGGAACGAGTGCTTTGAAACCAATGCAGCATTCAGTCCTGTATCTGTGTGTACAAACCTGTGGTTTGGATCAAATTCCTGGTGGTCATGGTAGTGACCAGGTCTCTCTGTGGGCAGGTCAAACTCACCTGCGGCAAGGAGACTACAGTGGTGTCCACCACTGAGCCCAGCCGCTGCGAATACCTCATGGAGTTCACCACCCCTGCCATCTGCCAGGAGCCCCAGCACCCTGATCTGTTCCCACATGATGAATTCTAGGCTGGAGTGGTGAGTATCCTTAAGAGGGTTTAAACCGCGGCCTAGAACTAGAACCCTGCTAAGGGTTCAACCACACAAGCACTTGACAATGGCAAGTGACAACTTATTGCGTGTGGAAAATCACTGCGCTTCCTCATTTACAGTTTCAGCTGATTCAAGTAGACGCTGCTTGTTTTTTACGGTTTAATTTTAAGGATCTCATTTGCAATGATAGCCCTAGAATTAACTGATTTCATTTTAATTGACTTCAACCTCACTGTTAAATGTGGTCCTGCTCATGCACTTTTTTTTATTTTGAATGGCATGTGCTGCGCGTCCCGTACAAAATAAAAAATAAAAAACCCTAAGAAAAAACAAGGGTGCATTAAAACCCGAAACTATTTTTCTTCTCCTACAGGACTTCAAAAAAAAATTGGACCGGGTGTAACACTGAAAAAAAAAAACAGAAGTGAAGATGTTTTGATCTTTTTTTTCTCATTTTAACAAAAAAACCAAACACAAGCCACGTAATGTCAAAAAGTCATCATTCCCAGCTTCCGGACAAGGTGATCCGTCCCCCAGCACGGTGTGCACAGTGGCCGAGGGGTTGGGTCCTGGAGATGTGGGTAGCTCTTTGTCTGGGAATATTTTTTGTTTCCTTTTTTATCCTGTAGAAAAATCAAGAAACACAAAAGAGCCCTTTGATACGGAAAGCCCATCCACCAGGCTTGTGACTGGTCACTCTGGTGGTCTGATAAAAGGCTGTGTTTGTTCAGTGTGCAGCCTGAATGGAATTATAGCTCGTCAAACTGGTTCTGTTGTCCCCTCTCACTTTGTCTCAGAATGACATGACTTTCCGTTACAAATGTTTTTTTTTCTTCTCTCAAGAAGTAACTGCTGTATTTTATATCACTGACTCATCGGTTATTGGCAATTTCCATCTGAGCTTCCAGTTGAACTTTTGCCGTAAGGATAACTCTGGGTTTTACATGTTAGGGTCAGTGTGACCTTTGAACTCCTTGTACCGTCTTGTTTTGCCATTGGGCAGATTCTTGATCATGTGAGTTTTCAGTCCAGTGTTGCAAAAGTTCACAATATGTAATAGCCAGTTTCTAAACATACATAGTTTACTGGTCATACAAGAACTCCTGAAACACGGGAACGTTTATTGAATTTGCTAGTTTTTTAGGAGTTGAAAAGGATGTTAAATTGCCCTGATCTTTCAGATTAATTATCAACAGCTGATCAATAAAACCTTAACTGTAGTCAGTCAGAACAGAAAGTGAATCACTGCATTTTGAACTTGCCATGCTTCTGATGTATGATAAACAGGGGATATACAGTAGGCAATACTGTTAATACAGTGGTTAACTCAAGTAAAGCCTGAAAGGCACCTGTCTATAAACATCATAGTGTTTTCTGTAATCAATAAAACAAACAGCTTTTCAACACATCACGCTTTTCTTCTTTTCTAAAAGCACAATAAAATAAGTTGGGTTTTTTTTTGCAAAAACACATCTTGCTTGCTTGTCTGCTTGCTTATCCTTCTATCACTTTGGTCTGTGGTTTTGGAATTCAGTGCTGTGTTCGATTTCCATAGTTTGTGTATCCTCTTCTGATGAGCACTGGTTTGGTCATCTGCTTATTGCTACAGCTTTCGAAACTGCATTTGAAACTTGCAGGTATGTCTTGGTTGCTCCTGTGATCTGTGTTAGACCTGTCCTGAAACTGACGTTCTTTTGCAGAGCATGTTACCATTAACCAATTTTTATTATTCAATGTTCTTTTGTATTTTCTTGTCAATCTGGACTGTAGTGCTTATTTTTTCACAAGCTCAATGGCAGTCTCCATATGTAAATTCTTTGTGCTTTCATATTCTTATTTAGCGGATTGAAGATTTTTTAGATCCATTGTGCTTAATTGATATCTTAAAACAGCTTATTTTAATGGTTTGGATAGTGCGGGCACTGTGAAATATCAGATGTTCATAACTTTGGTTAATGTCAGCACTTGGTTTGACCTCAATAACTTTTTTTCAGTTAATTCCAGCTGTCAGTTCCGTGCTCTTTTGTGCATCTGTTTTCGAATCTCTTGTCAAAGTCAAATCTGTAATCAGCTGTGTGATTGCAATTCTTTCAAATGGAGAAGCTGTGATCTGGAGCTATTAACTTGTTAAATGATAAATACCTCTGTAGTATTTCTGTTTTGTGGGGACTGTGCTGCTCCTCTGAGGAAGAAAAAAGAACCAACACGGTGGTGGTCGCTTTAATCTTTAAACAGGGATGTGGGACTTAAGGCTGGAGGCCGATTTTAACATTTGTTGTTTTTTTTCCTTATTGCATCCCTTTGATGATTGATTTTTTTTTTGTTTGAAAATTAAAATGTCTCCAACCCACCCTACCTTTTCCGCCTGTGTGGATTTTAATGCTGTAGTCTTGTGGGTGACTAAAGAACAGTTAGAAGGAACTGTAAGACCCCGCAGAGTCAACCTGTTCATTTTTTAATTTACCGTGAGGAAGGCTCCTGGCTCTTTCGTCACATGCTGTTAGATCATTTGGGAACAGATCTCCGATCAGCTCTGATCAAACCAAACAACACCAAAATGAGCTTCAAAATTGTGGTTGATCAGGGTGCCTTCCAAGCATGCGCATTTTTGTCAGCATGCATGATTTTTGTCAGCAGAATCCCTATACAGGGATAGGATTTATTTTTTATGGGAGCTTACTGTAGCTCAGAGGTAAGAGGTTAGGTGTGCAAGCTAACAGCACAGTTTTAACAAAGCAGACCGTTGGAAGATGGTCATCTCATTTTTCCACATTACAATTAAATGTTGATGGATATCTTCTGTATCATGATAAAAACATGGCATGAGCATGAGATCAGAAGTAGAATTGCTTGTGTAAACAAACACTTAAATTTCCTTCTTTTGTGTGCATATCAGTGATGCACGGGTCAGGTTATTTTTACCGGCACCCACCCGGCCCAATCTAAAATCTTTTTTTTTAACCTGAGGCCTCCAGACCCGTGGGTGTGAGTCAACCCGCACATCACAAGTGCATATGCTACTTATGTTGCCTTTGCTCCAAACTCAGGACTTCCAATGAGGTTAGGTGAGTATATAATAAAATATATTATATACCCTCCCAATCTTGAAATGTTGACTGCTTTTGCCTCTGGTACCCCAAAGGGGGGGAATTTGGAAATTTGTTGGCATGCTTCTCATTTCACACACTAGGAGCTCCACTACACCTTACAGGAGAGGCAAAGCCTCCTTTGCTGATATCACTGCAAGCCTGCAGGCACACGGCCAGTTGTGCAGTGCGAGTTGCTATATCCTCAAGAGCTGAGAGAGCCCCTGACTACCACCTGGCCACCGCTTGGGGAGTTGAAGAACAATTGATTTTCTCTCCTTAATGATGGAGTTTAAATTTGGAAAAACTTTGTAGTATCTCTGTATAAAAGCTCAAGCTATGTGATGAGCCATTTTCCATGGAAGGAGAAAACCACATCAGATGGTGTTTATAGTGCAACAGAGCGTGTCTCAGGTACTGCATATAGTCTCATGTTTCCTTTTGAATTATCCAGGTCCTTAAAGGTGAGTTGCTTGGCATTTCCACTGTTTACAGATGCCCTCACTTCTCCTCAGCTCAGGCTTGAGTGAAATGAGCATCTATGTGATAGCAAGGCCTAGGACAACTACATGCAAGCGGAACCCCAAAAGTTAATCCACTGTGATTCTAAATGCATTTTAAGATTCTTTATGCTTTGTCGTTCTTCCACTGAAAGATCTATGGGTGGGAATTAAATGTCTGTTTCACGTCATGCTGTAGATCAGAATGGAGAGCTCATGCAGAGCAGGGCAAGATGTGATCTGAAACATTTATCAACCCCCTTTTATTATTCCACTTATATAACCGCAGACTTTAATCAGCCAGCTGATGGAGAAGAGCGAGCAAACTGAATGTTCAATCCCCAGATGCCTCAGCCTTGCGCATATTCCTTGTTGTAACACGTACATCACAGCAGCCATGAATTTGATAAAGACTCTTGATTACTTTTAATGGTCTCGAATTGCAGATCTCTTCTGATGCTATGCTGATTCCTGGTATCAGAGGAAAAGTAGTGTATAATGTGGGTCATCCACTACTCTTGTGCTGCCAAGGGTTTGGCATAGTGCTCCATTCTAAAAAATGTGTGTATTCCTTAGACAAACTGCAGCTGCAAAATAGGGCCCCATCTCCCTTATGTGCCACTGAGAGTCATTAGGCTTGTCCTTGGCAGGGCTGGGGAATGTGTGTGGGGGTGTGGCCCTGGCTCCCCTCCTCTGGGGGAACAAGAGAATCGAGCCACTGGGTGTGATCAGTCAGTCACACTTATACTATCTGGCTTTTCTGTCAGGAAACAAGGGTACCCTGCAAATATCATCTGCAACTAAGGTTACTTTCATCCATTGCCCCATTGCCCCATTGTGACAGCGGTTGTCCAGGCTGGTTCTGATGTGACAATACTAGTGTTCTTTACAATGTAATTACACCTGGAGTAGCTCCAATGTTGTACACATTTCCAAAGTCATTTTGATTACCCTGCACAGTAGTATGTTCTATAATACATGCTGGCCAAGCATTATGGTTGTGGTATCAACAGCTACTCGTTCATAATGACTAGAGGCAGCGATCTTTTCTGGAGGTCCTGATATGAACCTGCGCCCCCCCCCCCCAACCACACACACACCTGCATTTTAATATTCCTCTCAGACACATTTTTGTGTGGAAAAACGAAACCACTTTTCACATAGTTTTGGTGTGTGCATGAATGCGTCTGCTATCTTGGTTGACCTCAAACCTCTTAGTTCTGGAGGGCTCTCATTTGAAACTGACAAGAGGGAACAGTGTGGTGGGGTTCGCTGAGCCAGTGAAACACAGCCCCCTTAACAAACAACATGGGCCCTGTTTTATGTGGCATGTCTTTACTTCCATTTTCGCTCAAAACAGGAAGAGAGAGAGGTGCACAAGGAAGGTTAAGATTCGTAACTTTTATTTTTATTTTTTTTCTGGCATGAAAAGTACAAATAATTAAACAATTCCATGAAAAAGTCTTAAAGCGTCCTCAGCTGAAATCCCAGTAATAAATATCCTAAACTAAACCGCAAGATTTTGTTCTTTTTCTTGTTGTTCTTTAATTTTTGTTCGACCTTTTGTTGTATTTGACAATTTGAAAAGTTTTTTGTTTCTTGTTTATTTTTCCCCCACTTCTCTGACATTGACTCCATCTTTATGATTATTTTTTTAACCATCCAAAGAAATGTTGAAAAGTTAACACAGCACAGGGAATGTAGAGTTACCTCCCCCAACTAAATACAACCAGAAAACAGAACTGGAGGGAAAAAGAAAAAAGATAAATGCTGCCCCCAACTAATGCTTTCCAAATCCCTTGTCTTTTAACACTGTTTCCCACAGTCAGGCTGTTAGAATAGCAGGATTGCTCCTGAAAACCTCCACTTTTTTATTGCATCACGCAGTGTGATGATGCTAACCCCTTCTCAGTGTGTTTCCTTTCATTTTGCCTATGCTTCCAAATTTTCATCACTGCCAGTTTAGAAAAACAGAGGCTCATCAGTCTTACCGACCCAAAAACTGGTGTAATTTGCTGTTGGTAATAGGCCTTCAACAACTATATGGTCAGGAGAGTGTGCTCTGGAAAAGATCAGCAGCGTGATTTAGCCATGGTTTTGTTTGCCATTGCTGTTATTTGCAGTGGTTTCTCAGCATGTGAAAGATGCAAAAGAACTGTACTGTCACTATGGGTCCCACAAGGCCTATTTTGTACAACAACTAGAACAGCAGGGAAACATTTTTACCACTTTTACCATTAAGAGGCTTGCAGGTTGGCTTGCCGTTACTGTATTTATGGCAAGAGGGTATTGCATTGTGCAAACATACTTCTCACCTAATCTCATGCAAAGCCTTCAGGAGGGAGAGACCAACTCCCAGCTGTGTACTAAAGACACCAGTGCCTCTGTAATGTGTTTTTTTTTGTTCATAAAGTCACAATAATTGTTCAATTCATTCTCCCGTCAGCAGTTAGGGGGGTCAGCACAGTCCTCTTATTACAAGCATTTGAAGACCAAGACCTGTGGCCTGTTCTTTGATAGAATGTAAAGATTACAGGAATCCCACTGTGAGTTTCCACAGCCAGTTTTTAGGATTGTAGGATTGCTTCAGATTGCCTCAGTTATTTGAAAGCACTGAAATGGATTGAAGCAGTGCGACTTCGGTCGAATCTGAACATCAGATTTTATAACACAGCAACATTTATTTTTTTATTAATATTTTGTCTTCTGAGAGTTTGTGTTTTTTTTCTCAGTGTTTGATTGCTAGTTAAGTCCTATGGTAGCAATCAAAGTGTTGAATGGGAAATAGCTTTTTTAAATACATAAGTAAATATTAAATAAATTAAATTTAATATTTAATTATTAAATAAATAAAGGTTCAAAGTACTTTTTCCCAATAAATGAAGGAAGTTCGACATTGGGCAGTTTGTTCTTTTTTATTTATTTTGCTTTTGACAGTTGCGTTATTTATTGAGGAAGGGAGGTCTTTAAGTCTGGAAATGCTTGGAAAAATCAGGCTTGTGAACATAATTTTTTGTACAACATGAAAATGAAAGAATAAAAAGGCTTTAACAAGACAAACAAAACACAGGTAGTTAAGTCATAACATCTAGCACACAAAATGTTTCTAAATATTTGTTGACTACACACTTCAGATTATTTTTTTAAATCAGTGCACTCTGCCTATGGAGAACGGTTCTCAAGCGTAATTTTTAATTGTTTTTTTCTTTTCCCTTTTAAGAAAAAAAAATGGCGTAACCACATAAGCAGAAATTAAAAATTAAGTCGTTTAAACTTGCAAATATAATGAAATAAACCATAAATATACACAAAACATACTTTATACGAGGCAATAATAATCATAATAAATAGTTTTTAAGTTAACAAGAATAAGTTAAAACTACAAGCTTAAAATCGCCCAAATAATTACAAGTTCGATGGCGCTATCTTTTGTATCTTCCCTTTTTTGTTGTTGCAACGAAAGCTACCACAGACTTTTACAAACACAATTGAACACATTTCGATTTTCAAATCAAGAAAGTCTAACTAATTCTAAAATCTGCAAACAACTTAAAACTGCAACTAAGTATTTAAAAAATCATCTACGTTTCTTCCGAAATGAAAAGCGAAAAAATCTTAGACCCATGTGTTTTCTACAGTCAATATCAACGACACGGAAAACGCTAAAATTAACAGCTTGTGAAACTGATATGTAAAACAAACCCGTAAATTGGAAAAAAAAAATGAAGAACTCAAGATTCTAGGTTCTTTGAAACCGACATGGGTTGTAACAGAAGAAAAAACATTGAAAAATACAGTATCCCTTTAAGGTAATCTTTTTCTTCTCCGTACTCAAAACTATTTTAAACTTAACCAAAAAGGTTACGTCACAATTTTCTTTTCAAGTCGTTGCGGATATCAAATTACGCTGTTTGTTCTTTGTTGTCAGAATACAATGTCTCAGGGTTTTGGGAAGGGATATTGTATATTTCGAGATATCGCAGCTCTTAGTGCTTTTCATTACTTGGGTAATTACCCATTTTTTCTTTGTATACTTCTATCGCATTCCTCAGTCGATTTCAATTAGACATTTCGTTTCTTAATCGATTTCAGTTTAACGTTTCGTTTCTTTTCTGAAAAAATATATTGTTCTTGGTCAATATAAAATTCGAAGCACATTGCACTTGGTTGTTCCACAATACGGAAGAACACGCTATATTCTCAAGCAGTATGGTATGTATGTCTCATCTTGTTTATTTTTTCTTTTGTTCTTTTATTGGGCTGTAAATGCATACAAATAAGACTTCGACAAAGGATCTTTTAAATTACAAAAACCATCAGGCCATTTTGCTCTAGGTAACGCAGTATATACATTATATAGAAGGTAAGTCTCAGCGTTTAATTTTGATTCCCGAGTTGCGTCATCTTGCCTGTTTTTCATCGGTGCGTGTCAATATATGAGTTCTGTGCAACAGACGCATTAAGTTTACAGAAAATTTGCTTTGATATTTAAAAAAAAAAGATCCTTCAGCTAAGCATCATAAAAAAACGAAAGGTAACGGAATTTCTCCCTAATCTGTAAGAGTGCTTTCTTCTCGGTTTTGGCCTCAGTAAGAATTGTTTAAGTGTTGAGAATGGCCCTTATGGAGAGTCTAAACTGGCTGGGAGCTAGTTTAAGATGCCAATGAAGATTGCTTACCAATTATTTTCTAAAACAATAGGGAATCTTTTTTGGACAGATTATCCTGAATGGTGTTTTGGGCAGGGTGAGTTTACTGTCCATTCAGTTCAACGAGATTCACTTGTTCAGGTGCTTCTCAGCCACTTCAAGATTGTCATCTTCTAAGGTCAAGAAGATCACAGACGTGCTAGTTTGATCGGACTGGAATGAACAGTAAAGTTAACCAATGCGTGGGAACCTATTGCTGCCCTGGAGAATCACTGTGATGATGGCAGCAGACTGTCATTCCCGCTGGAGTTGCTAAGCCGGAGGCCTTGGTCTGTGGATGACTCCAGCTCTCCAAGAATTTCGATTATGTTCCTCTTTTTGGAGACCTCAGTGCTAAGAGATGCTGCACAGCGTCTTTGTATCTGTCCAAAGATTTTACCTGTGGGAGTTTTCTGCAATCACAGTTGGCGAACAATTGCAAATGAAAAGCAATCTTGCAACAAATGATCTCCCTTCACGGAGATGAAGCCAGATGCAAGTAGTTTTTTTTCTCTTTGCTTTGCTACATGAGAAAAATGTAAACGGCCAAATTATCAAAGGAAAAAAACCTTTTCGCTTAATTTGGGCCAGATTTAGTTTCCGTAAGGGCCAGACAGTATCCCTTTCTGTATAGACGTCAAGGAGGAGTGGAGCAGAAAGGAAAATAATTGAATTGCTAAATTTCAAACACACAGAGGTTCAAAACAAGTCCTCAAAAAAGAGACACGTTAAATTTGCTTTTTGTTGTTTTTAACCGTAAAAAGCTTTCTTTTTTTATTCATGTTTTGTATTTAACAATCAAGAGCGCACGTGACACAAACATTCCTCTCACCCCCCCATTTTTTCACTTTTTTTTAAAGTAACCCCCCCGAAAAATGAAACAATGTAGCCTGTCAAAATATTTTCTTTTTTAAGCTCAAGAATCAGTAAAAATTCTCAACAAGGTCTTTTTCCTTTTTTATAAAAATAGATTTATTTTCTAAAGCAACCCTCTTCACATCAAAGAGATAGTCCTCTTTGGCTAGTTCTGCGTTATTTAGAAAAACAAAAAGTCATTTGAACACAGTTACCGTAATTTTTTTAATTTTTTGATTTTTTTTTGTATTTTTATATTTTTGTCTTTTTATTTCACCTCCTGGAGTGCCTCCCGTACCCTATCCCAAATGTGGAAAATATGGAAAATATGAAATTGTTAATCTTTCTTAGCGTTTTTATTCCTGTTGCACCCCTTTATCTCTCAGTTGAAGTTGAAAAGAACAAGGAAGATCTAGTAACGGACAGACTGCGAAGTCTCTAATGCATATACCAGCTATTTTCGGGTTTCGGTTTCTCCTATTCTGAGTGGGGAAAGTAATCTTTTCCTTATTTTTAATACAGTACATAAAATATATATATATATTTGTTAATGGGGTTGTCTTATGGAATTTTAAAGAGGTCTTACATGTTTGTTCTAGCTTGATTGGTTTTCTGCTTTTGTTTGCATTTTACAATTTGTATTTCAGCCAGGAAGGCTGAAAGGGAGAAAATAGGTCTGTTAACTTTCAAGACCTGTGAGGGAGAGGAAAAACCCTAACAGAGCCAGCCAAGTAGCTTTACTCAGCAGGCCAAAATCAAAGCTTCCTTTTGAAGATTTCAAATTTTGTCTCCCTCAGTTTTATTTTCTCTTTGTCTACAAAGTGAAAACAATCTGATTGGTTAGGTGCTTGTTTCGTAATGTATGATTCCCGGAGCATGCTTCTGGTTGTTTCGTACCTTTCGGCTTCAGAAGCGTGCCTCTGGCTGTTTCGTAATGTTCGGTTTCCGCAACGTG